CAGACTGTTTTTTTTTTTTTAAAGATTTTATTTGTTTATTTATTTGACAGACAAAAGATCACAAGTAGGCAGAGCAGCAGACAGAGAGAGAGGAGGAAGCAGGCTCCCTGCTGAGCAGAGAGCCTGATGTGGGGCTCGATCCCAGGACCCTGGAATCATGACCTGAGCCGAAGGCAGAGGCTTTAACCCACTGAGCCACACGGGCGCCCCTTCAGACTGTTTTTGAAAACACACAGGCAACCCCAATTGCCAACATGATAGGAGAACAATGATCTGCCTGAATCTGGCCCACCCAGCAACGAGGAAATAAAGGTTCTTCTTGCTGCTTCCTCAGAAAACTCAATTTGTACTTTTCTGTGAGCAAAAAAGAAGAATTTGTTCCCGATCATCACAAACTTAGAAGGAATCAAGTACCAGCTTTATTACAAGCCAGTGTTGAGCTTGCCCCAGGAGAACAGTAAATGTTCTGGTATTTTTAACAGCTCACACTCACAGAGAAACCACAAAGGAAATCCCCCGCTGCATGTCTTGATAGAAATTGTATTAGCGGCAATAATAAAACTATCTTCTGTGCTATCCTCACTATTAATGCCAGTCCAGCCCAAGAAAACTTGATTACTTTCACAATGACAAATAAAATTTCAAGGCCCAGAATAATCTAAAGCACCCGTTTATGGGTTCCCCCAAATTAAAGACATATATATGTTGTTTGACACAAACGCCGATCTCATCTCATCCCATTCAATTCCTGTCTGGGCTCTTATTCTAAAGACATGATAAAGGATGCAAAGCACCGAGACTTGGATGCGTGCTCCAGAGAGAACAGCTCTCTTGTCAGGCTGCTCTAAGACACCAGAATTCGGCTGCAGAACACTACTTTATTCCTCCCCAAGATAAGACTTTTAAACTGAAATAAATGTCAGTGTGAATACGAATTCCATTCTGAAGGGGAACTGCTGGTGGTTTGTAGGCTCATCCTTGAAACAGACATTTGTCAGGAACCTCTAACTGACCGCTGGAGATTGAAAACATCTTGTAAGTTTCAGGTTGGTATTTACCTCTCCGTTTGTCTCTCCAAGAAGGTGGATTTATGACATGAGACACTTGTGCATTTTTGGTGGGAGGGAAAAAATAATGTTGCTTAACAATGTTCTATAGGAGTGCCTGGGTGGCTCAGTGGGTTAGAGCCTCTGCCTTCGACTCAGGTCATGACCCCAAGGCCTGGGATGGAGCCCCGCGTCAGGCTCTCTGCCTAGCAGGGAGCCTGCTTCCCCCCCTCTCTCTGCCTGCCTCTCTGCCTACTTGTGATCTCTGTCAAATAAATAAATAAAATCTTAAAAAAAAAAAAAAATGTTCTATAATTTAAAAAAAAAAGAAGAAGAAAACACACCCAAGAACCAAATAGCCGGGCCACTAAGAACTAAAACCTACAGGTAATAGACACAGCTTCTTTGTATCTTTTCCCAGTGTCTTTTCCAGTTCAAACATTCTATGTGGTTTTTATTTTTTTAAGATTGTATTTATTTAGGGAGAGAAAGCATGTGGCTGGGGGAAGGGCAGAGTGAGAAGGAGAAAGAATCTCCAGCAGACTATGAGCTGAGCAGGAGCCCAATGTAGGGTTCCATCTCAGGACCCTGAAATCATGACCTGAGCTAAGATCAGGAGTTAAATGCTTAGCTGACTGAACCCCCCAGACATCCCCAAGCATTCTATAGCTTTGTGTGTAATGCTAGAACCTTCTTAATACAAGGAGATCTTAAAAATGCTCAAGCACAGGCATCCCTTGAGGAAATGTGTTGCACCCCGCTGTTGGAGTCAGGCTGACAGTGACGGATTCCACTGTCCCCTGCCGTCCAAGTCCCCAGATCCACCACATTTCATAAGCACACTGCTGTCTTCCACGAATGCCCTTTATTTTTTCCTACTGGTGAATTCCGCCAGTTCTGGCTATACTAAAAATGAATTAATGATCATTCAAGAGTTTATGGTGTTACGGACAGAACCGACGGAAGAGGAGGTGTGAGAAGAAGGGGGAGAACTAGGGACCCTGGAGGCGTTCCCCCTGCAGGATCAAGAGCAGGGGACAGCTGTTAGCCCATCAAAAGGCATGCATTCATAAAACACTGTACTGCTCTCCTACAGTGGCCATAACTGATTCCCACAAATCAGGTGGCTTAAAACCAGAAACTTATCATCTCACTCTTTTTTTTTTTAAAGATTTTATTTATTTATTTGTCAGAGAGAGAGAGAGAGAGAGAGAGCGAGAGTGAGCACAAGCAGATAGAGTGGCAGGCAGAGGCAGAGGGAGAAGCAGGCTCCCTGCCGAGCAAGGATCCCGATGTGGGACTCGATCCCAGGACTCTGGGATCATGACCTGAGCTGAAGGCAGCCGCTTAACCAACTGAGCCACCCAGGCGTCCCATTATCATCTCACTCTTTTCTGGAGGCAAGGCATTGGCAGAGCTGGCTCCTTCTGGAGGCTGCGGGAGAACCTGTTCCATGCTCTCCCTCTAGCTTCTGGGGGCTTCTGGCCATCCCTGGAGTCCTCCGGCCTGTGGCTACATCACCCTTCCCTGTGCCTACGTCTTCACACGGCCTTCTTCCCTCTTATAGGTCCCCAGCATCTGTGTCTCCCAGGGCCTCCTTAGGAGGATGCCCCCGCCATAATAAAGGGAGAGCCCACCCTCATCTAGTGCGTCCTCATCTTAACTAGCTACACCTACAAACATGCTCTGTCCAAAGAAGAACAGGTTCTGAGGTTGAGTTCAGGAAGACATGAATCAACCCAGCACACAGTGATGCGGGCACAGGGGAACATCCCCTACCGACTCGCAGTAGGTCACTTTACACGCATTCCACAGGCTTTGCTCGTCCCTGCGTCCTGGAACCCGGCCTGGCGGGTTCGGGGATCTCAGTCAGCGGCTGCGGAGTGATACATGAATGAACCTCTTGATTCGGCACCAAAGCCTTTCCTTGGATCATGGACCTGCTGAGTGACAGCCTCTCTCTTCCATAAGCTACCTCCAGACTCCTTTCCTCTAACGTGGACCGAGAGGGTAAAAGAAAGTCAGGAGGCCTGCATTGCAAAGAAGGGAGAAGGAGGCAGCTTTCTGGGCCGACCACGGGTCCCTGTCACAGTTCAGTGCTCTTGTAAAGCTGTTCCCTCTGCCTAAAACACCCTTCCTCCTACCCCACACCTGGCACTGTGCCTAGCATATTGGGGACTCAAAAGCTCTTAATCTCACGAAACAAACTGAGGGTTGCTGGGGGGTGGGGGGTAGGGAGAGGGTGGTTGGGTCATGGACATAGGGGAGGGTATGTGCTATGGTGAGTGCTGTGAAGTGTGTAAACCTGGTGATTCACAGACCTGTATCCCTGGGGCAAATAATATATATTAATAAAAAAATGATAAAAATAAAATAAAAATTAGGGCCAGGAGCTCCTCTAAGTGTGTGTGGGGGGGAGTACAGTTTGAGGGTGAAACCAAAAAATGAAGTTTGTTGATTAAACACCAGGGAGAGTTAGGATCGCTGTTTAAAAATGATTTTTAGGGGCGCCTGGATGGCTAAGTGGGTTGAGCCTCTGCCTTCAGCCCAGGTCATGATCTCAGGGTCCTGGGATCGAGTCCCGCATCGGGCTCTCTGCTTGGCGGGGAGCCTGCTTCCTCCTCTCTCTCTCTGCCTGCCTCTCTGCCTACTTGTGATCTCTCTCTGTCAAATAAATGAATAAAATCTTAAAAATAAATAAATAAATAAATAAAAATGATTTTTAACATGATTTTAAAAATGATTTTTGCTCCCGTATTTTCCCACCCACTTCATTAGAAAGTAAGACATTTGCGAATTTGTTTCAGAAAACTGAACTGTGCTGTATAGCCTGCGGGGAGGGGCATGTAGGAAGGAGACAAGTCAAAGAGAAACATAAAATCCAAGAGCCTGAGTGAGGTAGGGAGAACCAATGCATGAAGGGGCAAACCACAGACACAGAAACTTGAGGACAAGAAAGTCCTTGTGCCTCAAAGCAACACCTCTGCCTTCCAAAGCCTCTTCTTGGTGGAACCCTTGAGTTACACAACTGGCGAAATTCACAGAAATGAGCCACGAGTTGCAACCTCTTTATTTCATTACCTGTTCTCCAATAACTCACGGATTCAAGGGCAAGTCAACCTGAGGGGAGAAGGCGGGCTCTCCCCCTCACCTCAGACTCCTGCAGAAAACAGACCCGAGCTCCTAGGGAGGTAACACGGCCACTATAACGAGTTATGACGACTCACTCTGCCTTACAGTCCATTCCTCAAGATTCATAAAACGCTCTTCCCAAACCAACATCGACAGCATACACAATTTTCACTGCTCTGCCCACGGTCTTCACCAGGTGACCATCAGGAGAGGGGTGGCCCCCTAGGTTAAGGTCATGGTGACAGACAAATTTTTACGGAGACCCTTGCTGTGCTGGGTATTACCTTCTAGTTGCTGGAAGTCAGAGGAATCTGGGAGAGGGACCAGGGCAGCCGGGGGCCGCCCAAGGGGGTCTGCTTCTCAACTCGTATGGGAGAATCTCGCTATGATTAAAAATCAGCATGAGATAAACACCAACCCTGTGCTAAGAGCCTCAGACTAGGGGCCGAGAAGCTATCTGTAAAGAGCAAGATAGTAAAGGTTTTGGGCTGTGTGGGTCACGCGTCACAACCACACAACCCTACCACCAGTGTAGTGTAAGAGCAGCCTGAGACGACACGTAAGTGGGTCAATACCCAGCTGTGCTCCAACGTAGCTACAAAAACAGGCAGCAGGACGGGTAGAGCCCAAGGCCCCACTTTGCCACCCCCGCCTTACAACACGGCAGAGCTCATCAGACCTTCCAACCCAACCGCATCAGAGCGCGGTCTTCCCAACCGACCGGTCAACCCAACGGCTTGAGCCTCACAGACCCCAAGAGACCGAGTCGAAGGCCAAAGTCCAGGCGCCCCCGCCCCACCCCACCCCGATGAAGATACTCACCCAGAGAAATCCGTAGTGAGGATTCCATAGTGGAAGATATAGATGCGGCTGACGTGGCATAGTGTCAGGTATGCCATGGCTACGAAAAAGGAGTATCTGAAACCAGAAAGAGGGTCTGATGATTAGGCAGCGCGGTAGCACTGTCGATTTCCTCCTCTTCCTCCCCCTCACTCCCCACACGCAAGCCACCCCAAAGTCCTCCCGGCTTGGTCTGCGGCCCAGTCCGTGCACTGCCCTCACTTTCCCACGCACTGCCGGGAGCCCTTCATCTTTTGTCATGGGGACAGCACGATGGAGTCACCCAGGGAGCTCTGCAACCACAGACACCTGGACCGCACCCTCCCAACATGGGGGCTGAACCGGTACCGGGGACGCCTGGCAGGTGTGACTGCACTGGGCAGCCGGAGCTGGGAACCACGGCCCTGTGAGGGCTGCGCTCAGATTCTCCAATCCACACACCACCGTCCTCACGCCGGATCTCTGCAAAATACAGCCCAGCGTGACTCTGCCCACCAGTCCCTTCCTCAGACGCTTTGTTCTCCTGGCTTCCAGTCTCCGTGTTTGCTGCCCACTGCTCTGGTCCATCCGTCCAGGGCTCCTGCTCAGCTTAACTTACTGTACTTACTCCTTGGGTGAGAGCGTTCCCAGACGCTCCCGGCCCACACCTGAGGCTGCAGGGACCACATACTCTGGATCATTCCATGGCTTCCTACGGACACCGGCCCTGACCACATGGGATAAACTGGCAAAACACACGCACGCACACCCATACACATGCACACGCACACACATGCCATTCAGAACACTCATCAATTTGCCATTATACCTAGGTGACGTGAAAGGACAAAGAACGCTCTGAAAAAATCTAAGGAATCCAGGAGTGGTAGAGAGAGCATGTATTCTGGAGAGAGACCAACATGACTTCAAATCCCAGCAATGGCGAAACTCATTCAAGAAGTCCAGAGAGCAGTTCTTTTAGGAAGGAGGGCTGTGGCAGAGCCTAGGGCAGAGGGGATACTATTCCCCTGCTGCCCCAGGTTGTGGAAACATGATGTATTTAGTCGGTACAAACTCATGGATCTGTATGCCTCTCTACTTCTCTGAGCTTTCAATTTCCTCCCCTTGGCTGGGGAGAAAAAGATCTGAATCCCATAGAATTGTCCTAGAAAGAATGTCTTTGCAATAATGATACTGATACACTAAATAAGACTTTATATATTAAAAAAAAACAATGAAAACTATTTAAAAGAGCTTGGCTGGGGCGCCTGGGTGGCTCAGTGCGTTAAAACCTCTGCCTTTGGCTCAGGTCATGATCCCAGGGTCCTGGGATCGAGCCTTGCATGGGGCTCTCTGCTCAGCAGGGAGTCTGCTTCCCCCCGACCCCTACCCTCCTGCCTGTGATCTCTGTCAGATAAATAAATGAAATCTTTACCAAATAAAAATAAAAATACAAATAAAAGAGCTTGGCTTAGCACTTGACACCGAGCAGGTACCCCCCCAACAACTGGTCACTGTGTCGCACATTCTGACAAGAGGCTGTCCGTCTGAGGAGATACAAACTATATTCTGTTCCAGTTGGTTTAGATGGAATAAATGAACACCTGTGATTTCTGTCCAATATAGCGGCTTGGGAAGGAAACAGAGCCGGTGCGCCAAGAATTCTCTAGACAAAGACAACCATGTGTCCAGACCTGGGTTAACTCCCCTTGGCAGCAGAGACTGACCTTCCCCTCTGTTTCCCAGCCAAAGGACAGAACTCTTGTGACCGGTTCAGCCAGGGGAAGAACGCAATTCACAAAGAGTCATGAAATCCTGATCCCAAAGGAAACTTAAACCCCACTTTTAAGAGGTGGGAAATCTGATGTACAAAGAAGCTGAGTGAACTATTTGAACTCCCACTGCTAGAAAGTGCCAGATTTCCAGTCTAATGTTCTTTCTCTGCATCAGTAGGAAGCCACTTCCCTCATCCAGAACTATGAGCCACTCCCTACGTCTGCAATCTTGGCGACCTCACCAGCGAAGAAAGAGGGGAAGAACTTGCTCTGGCGTCCTTTCTGGTCTTATGACACAGCCCTCTGCTACCACAATATTATGATGGGGCATCAGTCATAGCCTGTCTGGAAACCACTCAGCTTGGCCAAGGCTGGACTGTTCCATTCCTGGCCAGAGATGAACACTGGGTCCGGCGTGGAATGAGTGTGCGTGGAGGTTTCTTGACCCTCTGAAAAATGGTTCATACCCACCGGCATCACACAAGTGTGGTGAGAGATGATAAGCCACAATTTATAAGGTCATTAAAAATGTGCTATAGAGATGTAACAACATTTTTATTAATTGTTGCACTGCATCAAACCTCAGGTTTGGGAAAAGCCAGACATTTTCACTGCCGCCCCCAACACTAAAAACAGCATTTTGCTATAATATGAGGCATTCCCAATACCGGTTCTTGGAAATATGGATTTCCTATTTCCCTTCTGAAGGAGGGACCCAATCCCTTTCAAGGAAGGCATTTGGGAGAGAGAGGATTACAGTTCAATTTTTCAGAGCTCATCTGGACACAGAGTTGGGTGAAAATAAAATTTAGAATGGTGCAAAAATATTTTCCCTTGAAAACCAGACATTTGTTGCAAGTAATTTACAAGACTATCCATGAAAAAGTTAAATTTCAATGATTTTCAGAAGGAAAATTATTGTGCTGTCTTATTAATCAAAGACCCTACTGAAGTTCAAAGAAGGCATCTGCTTTTTCAGAAACGCCATCAAGAAAGAAGTCATAGCAGGGCAAATGTCTCTCCAAAGGTGTTCGGTCACTCCTTCCATAAATATTTATTGAGCCCTTACTTGTGCCCAGTATTGTCCTAGACTCTGAGGACACAACAGCGAACTCTGTTTTCATAGAGCTTGCGATCCAGCACCCCTGAAGGCAGAATTAATACTGAAGTTTCACACAGGCCCTGGGGAACACAGACAAGGCTAAACAGATACACAGGTGTCCGAATCAATGATCCAAACATTGTTGCCTTCAAGGCAGAATTAAGTTACCTCTGTAGCTTTTAAATCAAAGTATCATAGTACGAATACTTCTTCCCCTTTTAACATTTTATGGTACATATTTTAAGTACACAAAGTTTCAACGTAGGCACATGCCTAGAAAACCACAGCCACATTCCGGGCAACAGACATATGCGTTGCTCCCACACACACTCTTCCTGCCTCTCTGATTGGATCCTTCCTCATCTCTGCGGACCAGCCCAGCTAACCTCCGATCCGCTCTCTGCCACTACAAATTAGTTTGCATTTTCAAGAACAGATTTCTGTGGCATCCTTCATTCCCCATATTTACTCCATGTGACTGTCATCAATCATTCCCTCTTCTCGACTGTGGAGTATTACCCCACTGTGGGCAGCATTGGGACTGTTTCCAGTCTGGAGGCTACCACAGAGCGGCTTCTACTTTGAAATGTTTGCAAAGTGTCCTCAGCATTTAGGGACCCTCCACCTCTCCTTCTGATACCCCAGAGAACTTAGGATATGCAAATTGTGGTGGGCAAAACGGGGAAGGTACCCCTTTATGCTGGGAACACATTTCAGAGGTCACAAAAAACCCTCACATGGTCTGGTTCGCTCCCAGAACCTTACCTGTGAATACTGGATACGTTTGCGGTGACCATGATTCCGTAGCACATCAACACCAGCACAAAAAGGTGTATGGAGTACCTATAAGACATCACAGAGAGGAGGAGGGGCACTGAATATATTCCAAATTAACAGACCTCCTGGACGCCCATACCCACCCCTCCAAAAAGCCCATGAGCCATTAACTCGCATTTACGTAAGAGAAAATAAATTGAGTATTTTTGCTCTGTGTAATTAAGGTACTAGATCGTGAAATGGCAGGAGGAAGTGGCGGTGCTGGTGACGTCAGCAATCCATAAATGGAATGTTTATACCTTTGCACACATACAATCGGGAGTCCAGAAGTATTCTTTCTTTCTTTAGAACATTTTTTTTTTTATTTTAAAGCATCAGGACCCAAACTGACCTTTCCCAGACACCAAGACTTTCACCTGTTTGCTGCTTCAAAATACTCGTCATCCTTTCTCACATTTTTATTGGAGGAGGAAGAGCAGCAGTCTTGTAACCTGAATAAACTCACAAATGTCCTTAAGTTGGACTTCTAGAAAGGTTGGTTCCTAAAACATTCCCCCACCCACCCCCCCGAGAAGAGCCACTCCCAGGGTCACTGACTGGCTTACTTAGTAGAGTGTCATCTACAGGCTCTCTTTGTTAAGGAATGTCTCATGTTTCCTCAAACCAGCCCTGGAACTATTGTCCTACTCCAAGCACAGGACTGACACCAATTACCTCCAACAGTAATGCAAGAAAAACACCAATATCTACAACAGGTAGGAAGGGTTCCTCAGCTGAAAAATGAAACCTTATCCCATTCTATTTACATGACCCACGGGGAGGTGAGTCGAAGCATAACTTGTAGAAAAGTTCACAGAACTGACTTCTGATGGGTAGTTTATTGGTTCTAGGTTCTTAGAGAACATGGGCATTCCTGGGACATCCCCATTATCCTACAATAGGAGTAAATACTTCTCTCCTCGGTGCCTGGCAAATGCCAAGAACATTGCCACAAAACACCCAAATAATAAGAATTAGACTTTCTGAGGCTCATACTCACCAACCAAAACAAAAGATGACAAAGTAGATGCCAAACATGGTGGCAAACGCGTGCCGGACATCGGGACTGGTTTTACCAGGACTCAGGTAGACGCGGAACCAGAACGCAGCAAAGAGAGCAAAGAGCTGACACGCCACGAAATTCACCTGCACGGGGGGGTCAAGAGAGAGAGACTCAGACCTTTAGCTTTTACCTGCGTGGGAATCCTCTCGACTCTTTCCAGAGTTCCACACCAAGATGCCTCTGAGCACTTGGACTTGGACTGTGTCCTGGCAGAGTGTTCGTTTGGAAACGGTTGGGGAGACTGAAAATTCCCCATGCCCTCCGCTGGCGGAAGAAGCGAGGAACCTGAGTTTTGTCTCCAATCCTTTCAGGCTAGCCTAGGTGGCTTGTCCACCCACACACAGAGGGCTTTTTAATGTACAACGGCCTCAGGGACGGTGGGGTCAGCTTGCTGGGTCTCTCTCCCCGCCACCCCTTGCCCACCCCCAGCGCTATCCTAAGATAAAGCACCGGTTCCGGGAGAATCAAAAATGAATCAAATCCATGAAGCTTCCTTCACTGACTACCTAGGAAACTAAATGCTTCTCTCCAAAGTCATCGTCAGCTGTTTTGACTCTAATTTTTCTCATTTTAATTAACGCCAAATTAACAAGAGCATTGCCCAAGCTAAATGGCATGAAAAATTCACACAGAACAGCCCCGCCTTCAACTTCCAAATGCCAACCCTGTCCAATTATGGGAAAAAATCTCATTGATCTCTCTCTCAAAAACACTGGACCTGAAAGAAACTATAAAAGCATTCCCTGATGCCCATCAGGAAGATCAGCTGATTTAACCCAAAACCAAAACAGACCACGTGATGGAATCATTAATGACACCGGGAACAGTGGTTCTAACCCCCCAGAGCATTCGGAGTGAAAGCTTCGCTTTTAGAAGACACTTAATGGAAAGGGGTTCGAGGATATAAATATCTGAATAGAGCCTCAAATTCAGCCTCAGCAGGTTTTCACACGACAGAAAATAGTAGCTATTAGTGACATTCATTAGGGTCGCCTCTGAGGTAGGGCTACAGGCAGTGACATCCACTCGACCTGAGCTTATTCTGTTTTCCCAGTAAAAACCAAAACTACTTTGGACCCCTGATGATTCACAGAAATACTTTTGGAGAATTTTTTTGTTTCATTTTTTATTGATTTATATTATTATTATTATCATTGAGTAGGTTCCATGCCTAGCATGGAGCCGAACTTGGGGCCCGAACTCACGACCCTGAGTTCAAGACCTGAGCCAAAATCAAGAATTGGCTGCTTAATCGACTGAGTCGCTCAGGTGCCCCTTTTGTTTCATTTTTTTAAATTGACTGTGCTGAGTTTCCCCCTCTGTTAGACCGTTTGTGTTCACTGGTCTCTCCAAAAACTTGATTCCGCTACCGCCCGCCATCACTTTCTACCGTGAAAGACAGAGAGGAGGTGAACTGTGACCTAGCCTACATGATGTGATCATACCTTTTTTTAAAAATCTAAATCCAGTTAGCCAACATATAGTACATTAGTTTCAGACGTAGAGCCCCATAATTCATCAGTTCCGTATAACACCCAGTGCTCATCACATCACGAACCCTCTTTAATGTCCATCACCCAGTTACGCCATCCCCCAACCTACCCCCCCAAGGTCATACCTTCTTATGTAGCCTAAATCCCAACTCTCCCTCTCATACACAGTGGAGAGGAAAAAAACCATGCCTTCTTTGAACTTCAGTAGGGTCTTTGATTAATAAGACAGCACAATAGTTTTCCTTCTGAAAATCTTGAAATTTAACTTTTTCATGGATAGTCTTGTAAATTACTTGCAACAAATGTCTGGTTTTCAAGGGAAAATATTTTTGCACCATTCTAAATTTTATTTTCACCCAACTCTGTGTCCAGATGAGCTCTGAAAAATTGAACTGTAATCCTCTCTCTCCCAAATGCCTTCCTTGCATCTAGCAAGGTTCAAAATGTAAAGGAATTGGCAAGTAGAAAGTCAAAGTTACAATCATCTGTAGGCGACCAATCATACACTCTTTCCTTCTCTCAGCCACAGAGAACACAGTCACTGAGGACAGCACCCAAGGGGAGATCCATTCCATTCCTCTGGGCTGGCCGGTAATTACTGAGCACCCCTGTGCGTGAGGAATGACTCAAAGGGCAGAGCAGTGGTTCTCAAGTGTAGTTCCAGACCAGCAGCACAGGCATCACCTGGAAAACCATCAGAAATGCAAATTCTCATGCCCCACCTGAGACCTACTAAATTAGGTGTTCCCAAGGTGGGTTCGGCAATGTGTGCTTTAATGGTCCCCCAAGGGATGGTGATGCACAGTCACTTTGAGAAGCACTGGCATGGAGAAAGGAGGCCCGGCTCCTGCCTCCAGGAGCTTATACCCTGAGAAAGGAGCACAATAACCTCCAGTCACTGTAAAGTAACATTAACATGATGTGAACTTGTTACATTATTATTATTCTCTTACACTCTGCCCCCTTTAGATCCAAAGTAAATAACAAGAAGTCTTATGATTAAGGAGGGAGGAGGCTCTGGCTGACAATCAGGAAAAAAAACTATTTAAATAGGTACAAATTGGTCCCAACCCTTCTGACGTAACTGGCATGGCGTCAGAATTTCCAAGGCATCAGGTGGTTCTCATAGGCAGGCAAGACAGAGAACACCTGCTTTAGCACAATAAAGAGAGAGGCCTCCAAAGGCTCCCAGGAGAAACTAGGCTTTCCCAAAAAGAAGAATAAAGGACGGGGAGGTTGGACCATGAAGGCGTGGGGCAGAGGTGAGAAGGAACAGATTTAAGCTTGGTGGCTGTCCCTCAGCTGGTCCAGATTTCTGTCTCCTGCCAGTCTCATCAGCTGGGCTTGTCTTAAAAGAGGTGGATCCTTGCAAACCCCAAGGAAGAATAAGGCTCACGGTGCAAACAGCCATCTGATCTTGTCACCCCAGTGATCACTAAAGAGGAAGAAACGCTCACGGGGTCACTGTCGCAATCTGCCATCTTTTTGCCACCAGACTCTGAACACCCTGGTTCTGACTCCCAGGTGTCAGCTGGGCGACATTAGGTAATTCATTAATTCTGCAAACATTTACTGGTTGATGCTATATGCCAGATACAGGAGACAGTGGGCAAGACATTGTCACTACCAGCAAGTCAAGAAAAGAAGACTTACCTGCTCTGGGTTTCAAAAAAATTGGGGGGGGGGGGGCGGTAAGTAGGAAATCTGTGATTTAGGAGACCTGATCTCTAATGTCTCTTTTGGCTCTAATAGACTCTCATTCTAACCTAACCTGAATCCCTTCCCTTAACTGTTCGCAGTTAATGCCTAAATGCCAGACTTTGTTAGGGACTGGAAGCTTCCTGCTACACACAAACACAATCCACTCCCCCGTCCTCTTCCCGGGAGCGAGTCCCGGATGGCTTTCTGAATGTTCCCCGGCAAACAGTTCCAAGGCAAAGGTGGAAACACAGCAGAGCCATTTGGTTCTACAGGAGGTTTCTAACAGAATTGCTTTTCAACTCCCAGACATACATCTTTTTTTTTTTTTTTAAAGATTTTATTTATTTGACAGAGAGAGAGAGACAGTGAGAGAGGGAACACAAGTAGGGGGAGTGGGGGAGGGAGAAGCAGGCCTCCCACGGAGCAGGGATCCCAATGTGGGGCTTGATCCCAGGACCCTGGGATCATGACCTGAGCTGAAGGCAGACACTTAATGATTGAACCACCCAGGTGCCCCCCAGATGTACATCTTAAAAGGCACACACTGAGCCACAGTTAGATACTGCTTCGCACCCATGGGAATGGCTCTTATTTAAAAAAGCAAAATAGTAAGTGTTGGCAAGGATGAGGAGAAACTAGAGCCCTGTGCGCTGCTGATAGGAGGGCAGGGTGGTGCAGCCCCTGTGGAAAACAATATGGCGGTTCCTCAGAAAATGAAGAATACAGTGACATAGGGCCCGGCAATCCCACTTCTGGATATTTACCCAAAAGAACTGAAAACTGGGTCTTGAATGAATATTTCTTCATCCATGTTTGCAGCAACGCTGTTCATAATAACCAAAAGGTGGCATCAACCCAAGTGTCTCTCAGTGGATGAACAGATCAACAAAATGTGGTCTGTGGACACAGGGGGAGTATTATCCCGCCTTAAAATAGGGGAAATTCTGACATAGGCTACGACACGGTTGAACTTTGAGGACTTGATGCTAAGCGAATAAGTCAGTCACAAAAGGACAGACATTGTATGATTCCCCTTAAACGAGGTACCTAGAATACAGTGGTTAAATTCATAGAGACTGAGAGTAGAACGGTGATTCACGGTGATTCATGGTAGACAGACTGAGCAGTGGAGGGAATGGGGTTATTATCTGATGGATACAGAGTTTCCGTTTTGCAAGGTTAACAGAATTCTGGTGTTGGTGGGTGTTGGTGATGGTTGCCTGACAATGGGGATGTCCTTACTGCCACGGAATGGTACTGTGTGCTTAAAAATGGTGAAAATGGAATATTTTGTATTTTGTCTATTTTACCACAATGAGAAAAAAAGTATAGGCTGAAGCAGGACTCCAATTTCTTTGCATTTGCTAACTTCCTATCAACTCTAGTAGCTGGTATGACCATGACCATCTCTACGGCCAACAGTGGCAGGTTGCCATGATAATTCACGGAGGAACAGGATGAAATCTGTTTCTTTCCTCTAGATAGGGCCCATAAAATGGGCGGCATTGTTTTTCAGAGCGGTAAGTCACAATGGATTTGATTTGATCCATAAGATCTGCTTCCAAATAATCTTGAAAGGATGGAGAGACTGGAGAGAGCATAAAGCAGTGGCTCTCAAGGAGGGATGCCTTGCCCCCAGGTGACATTTTTGGCTGTCATGACCAGAAGAAGTAGCAGGGGAAAGCTCCTGGCCTCTAGTGGTTAGAAGCTAGGAATACCGCTAAACATCCTAACAGGGACAGGACAGCCCTCCACAACAAAGAATTTTCTGGCCCAACATGTCGGGAGATCCCAAGTTATCAAATCACGGATCCTGGTACAGAAGAAACACGATTGGCAACGAGCCGTAAACCGAGAGCTGAGCACATGAACGTTCATCCTACTCACCT